CAAGTGGCTTGAAAATGTGTATGAAAAATAGTGTAATTTTAAAGGCAGAATACTTGATGCTTCTGAGTTACTAAAGCAAACGTTCCCACTGTAGTTGGCAACTATCTCTTGAGTGATATTGCCCTTTTAGCCTGGACAGTTGCCAGTGTTTCTTTCATTTATTCCCTTCCTTTGGGAGAAGAATTAATAATGTGGGTCAAGTGTTGCTTTGGCACAGCCATGTTTATAAACACGGATTGCACGCAATTCTGTATCTGTGAATGCAGCAGAAAATGGGCTGCCTCTGCAGCAAGTCCTGCATCAGAAGGGATAATATTCACTCTGGCCTGTGCTTAATGCTGCCTCTTTTCTTTGCTCTGGGCATGTCCTTGCTGTAGAGCAAGGAGCTGAGCACAGACTGCAGCTGCACAGCACCTCACTGGAGCTGAGCACCAACAGTGCTTTAGGGAACTCCCAGACTCTTCTAAAAGGAGCTGCTCTCAGGTGTCCAAATGCATGGCTTTGAACAAGATTCTTCCCTCAAGAGGAGACCAACTCTGGTGCAAGAGGTGATAGGGGAGACCTGGAGCATCTCTTTGGCCCTAACTCAGGCTGCACAGGCACACAAACCCGTGACTTTGTTTCCACGTTTATGTTTTCATGAGCCAACAGCTCATAGGTTAAAATAAAAGGTGAGCTTTTGTTTAAAAATGCCTGGCTAACTTTGATTTACATCTTTGTGGTTAAGTTGCAGATACATTTCTGTAGCTAGGAACAACAAAATGGTGACAAAGTAGAATAAGGTGGCTTTGGTATGTTCTGGTTTTGTACAAATCAGAATTGAGTCCTCCTTTCCACTGAACTAGTTTTTTGTTTAAACTTCTTGAATTGGAGTTTTCAAATTAAATTAAACTGTTTCTCATTAATGTTTCATATCTCCTCATTATTTCATGGGTAGAAAAGTGCCTTAATATGTAAAAAGTAATAAATGAAGAGTTTATAAATTGCATCAGATGGACCCAAGCAGCAGTCTGTCAGATGGCAAGGTTCAGTGGCTGGTGAATAGCTTTGTGTCTGGCTAATAGGTGATGGATTTTGAACTATTGGGTTATCTGCTAATACATATATGTATATTTATTTATGTGTAGTAATTTTCAGTTGAAGAGCATCTAGTCTGATGATCATAATTGTTTTGGAAAAAAGCATAGCACAGAATGAGGAAAGCTCATGCCACAGCTGAATACAAGTTTTGACCACTTAAATACTAAGGGGACTTCCACTGCAGCGAGGACTTGATTGGAATGTGGCTCTGGCTGAAGAGAACAGTGAGAAAACCATAGAGATGGATTTTGTGAGTGGGGAGCCTTTCTCTCTCTCTCTCTCTTTTCTGGTTAAATTAGAGATATAAATACATATATAGCTCCCTGGACTGTACTTGATGCAAACGTTTTGTACCAGTCAAGCTTTCTCTGCCTATTTTACCTCGCTGCACAGTCTAACACAAAATGTTCATTTTTGTCCCTAAGATTTTATTCAGAAAGGCAAAGTAATTGAATTAATCCTTCATTAGATATCATTAGATATGCTGCTCTTCAATGGAAATGGCTGCAATGCAAATTTGTTAGGCAGTGTTTGCTATACATTTCCCATTTGCTCTGATGTATCTAGTCCTGCATATCAATCTAGAGTTAGCAATCTGCAGCGTGGTAAAGATAACAGAGTGATTTGGGACTGCTGGTTTTGACAGGATCCCATTCTTGTTCCATTTTAAAATCTCTCTACAGAGATAGAGATGGTAATAGGGAAAAAAGGGTGTTCCTCAGGCAGGATAGCAATGGGCAGAAGCTGACCGATAATCTCCAGTATCTCGTAAAGCGCTCTCATTACTGACAAACAAAATGGGCCACAGAGTATGGTGGAATTGAATTACGGCTGCTGTCACCCACTTGTCATGGCAACACGCGAGCATCACCTCTGAGACCAAAGCCTTGAAGCAAATAGATAGTTTCAATTATCTAATTTTCACAATGAATGAGACCTGTTTATTGGAAATCTATAGGTGCTTGGCAATAGCAAATGGTAACTGCGAATATATACAGTTCAGAGTGAGCTGATTTACAGCCTCTTCTGAACTACAGAGTAGCAACGTTATTTCTTGAAATGAACAGATGCAGTGTAAGTACCTGGGGCAGAATAAGCAAACTTTGTCTGCTCCTTAATAGCTTTAAGGAGTTTGAGCTTGTATTTATTTGTAAGTGAGCAGCGGCTGGGGATCAGGACCCTTTGTGCCAGGATGAATAACTGCAGATAATCACTGCTTTTCTGGAAGGTCAGTCACAGTATGTAACAAGATGCCACATGTGGAAAACAAGCAAATAAGGGTGACATTTGCCATGCTAACAACTTAATAGAGTCAAACAAATAAGCTGGTAGCAGCTTGTGACAATTTTATTATCAATTGTTCTCAAATATGCAGAGACATTTCACTTTTAATCAGCTTATTGTTTTGTTAGGTTTTGCATGTGGTTTTATGTTATAGTCCCTACATATCTCCCTAAGTGTGTCTTAGAATAGGTGCAATAAAAGGATAACCAAGGACTTGTTCATGCCCTCTGTTTGGCACAGAGGCCTTCCTACCGTGAGAACACGCTCAGGTGTCCTGCAAAGTCAGTGAGAGGGTGCTTTCCCCTCATGGGCAACCCTTGTGGCAAAAGGTGCCATCTAATTTGGATCACGGCCTTAAACCTGAAGCACCAGGAAATATCTGAGATACACAAGGTGACTGGAGGATTAGGATGGGAACCTCACTGTGGCTAGGACATCTTCTGGGCAGCCACTGGACAATGGAGGACATCCACGATGTCTTATAACAGTTCCTGTGGTTGTGCCCTCTTCACAAGTCCTGGACTCTGTGTCCAGATAAATCATTGTACAGTCTCTGACACATCCAGTGAAGGCACCCAACTTTGTGCAAAGACACTGATTGATAAATAGAAACCTGCTAGTCTTCAGGGATTGTAGAAACTGTTGTTGCTGCTGCCTGGCAGGAGCAGGGCACTGTTTGTGGCTGGGCAGGTACTATCAGCCTCAGGAGAGACCAACCTCTGTCTGCAAACTTCTCACAGTTCCTCCTCCTGCCCAGGAGTGTGGCTCCCTCCTGGTGTGGATTCAGCCTTAATCCTTTGATCTTTATTGATGGATTGATCTGCTGCTCGTTGTGGGAAGAGTGTATCGTCCATGTCTTGCTGACAGGGAGTTCAGCTACTGCCAGCTTTGCTTTCTGTGGAGATATTGAATAAGTCTCCATAAACCAAAGAGCTGTGGCATAAGCACGGTTTTCCTTCACTACCCCTATGAATGTATCTTAAAGATAAGAAACTGGTTAAATAAATTACCCATTCCCTTGCAGCTGAGCTGCTCCCAGGGGGAGCTGCAGCCCCTCCTGACCAGTGGCACAGGTAGGCCCAGGCTGAGCCCCGGATTGCTGTGATCTGCTGAATGCCACTGGGCTGACTTGCTACCACTCGGACTTACATCCCTACTGTCGTGGTTTAACGACAGGCTGAGATGTCCTTGGCTTGGTATAAGCACTGCTCTGCAACAATTAAAACATCGGGGTGTTATCAGCACTCTTCTCATCCTAAGCCAAAACACAGCATTCCACCAGCTACTAGGAAGAAAATTAATTCTGTTCTAACTGAAACCAGGACACCTACCTTACAGGAGGGCAAATTGTTTGGGACAGAGCTGGCTGCGAGACCTGAAATAGTTTTATGTCTTGTGTGCCCACATAACCTCAGGGACATCCGAAGTCTTTGAGAAATGAGGATTTCTTATTTTCAAAGTAATTCTTTTCTTTCATGTGGGATCTCGCCAAAGTAAGTGCTGAAATCTCCCAGGATAAGTCCGGGACATTTCACCAGAGTGGCTGCAGTGCATCCCTGATTGCCTGCTTTGGATTTGTTTGCTCTTTGGTCTATAAATGAACATCAAAGGAGCATGGTACACTTATAAGAGACTCCTGATTTCACATCACTTGAGTGGCTATTATTAAAGCCTGTCAAGGAACCTATTTGAGCTTTAGTAAAAAATATAAAGGCAGTCAAATCCTTTGAGTAAATTGTTAGAAAGGCAAATGAATAGAGTTCTGTCTGAGCTAGAAAGAAAATGTAGTGTGGGAAATGGCTGCGACCACAGGATTGAGGAAAACCCTTACAGAGCCCCCAGTGGCATGTGCATCATTGGGGCAGTGCATTCACATGGGGAGAAGCAGCCGATGCTCTGCCTGTCTCCTGCAGGGAGCAGGTGAGCATGTGTGATTTTGATTGCCTTAGCAGACTGGCTGAAAGACAACGTCTTCAACCCTTTATGGGGCTTTTTCTTGTCATCTGCATGGCTTAGTTATGATAAATGAGCAATTAAAGAGAGCATGTTGCTTTTTTTTTTTTTTTTTTTTTTTTTTTTTTTGCTTGTTTCGTTTTCTTGATTTTCCTGGTTATCTTTAACCTCAACATGCACAACTTTTGTGATGTTAAAGGGAAGTTCATTTGTAAATTGAGACCAAAACTAGAGATTAAACATGGGCATTCCTGGTACACTGGTAGCAGAGGGCAATTTGAAGAACTAAGGTTGTGGATTTTGTTGAACAATTACAAAGACGACCCTAGAAGCTGTGTTTAATATCCAGTGTCAGTTATGACACTCCTGTATTTGATTTCAGTTCTATTGAACTAAAACTGGTCATTTTTTAATTAGTGGATAATAGCAGTTGAGGAGCAGTGAAGAAAGTCAAATCTCTGCTCATGGCCAACATACTCTCCTTAAAACAGGAGCTGCCTGCATTGGTGCTAAGTGTAGGAAGTTTCTTATTGATACCTTGTGCCAGTTTAGATACAAAGATAATCAGTCTTTCTTTCACTAAAATGGCAGCCTGATGTCTGGATCAATAACTGCGGCTCCCTCAGTTTGGAGGACAGAGTGGACTCAACCTTTTGCTGATATTTTTTTTACAGATATAGGAAATGCCATCCAGAAGGATTGCATCTGCCCAGCTTTCACTGAATACTGATCAAAGAGGACATAGTGTCTGTTAACCAGGGAAATAGTCTTGAAAAGAAAGAAATTCAGATGTTGTGTTTGTGGAGTAGAAGGCTCAGAAGATAATGAGTTAGGAACAAGCAAACATCCTCCTTTGCTGGGGCCACTGGTCTCGCAAGTCAGCCCTGCTGCATCCTCCTGGTCCTGCTGCCTGCCCAGGGTCGGGGTGTGATGGGGCATGGATCAGTTGTGTGTGAGCTGCAGCCAACGGCCCCCGTATGGCACTCAGCATCTCCCATGGGCATCTAGATCACAAAGCTGTTTCCTCCCTGTGCACACAGTACAGAAAAGAAGCAATGCTGGGAATTACTTTTTCAAATGTAAAATACCAGGGAATCCTTCTCCTCGACAGCAGTTTGGCCATGATGATGATCTCGGAAGAATATAGTGGCTGATGTCTTTTCACTAAGGATTAGCCCGAGCTTCAATGTAGCCGTCAAGCTGCAACCTTTGCAGGGCTTAGAACTGTTATTTCCAGGTATGGCTTTTTTTCTACATTATTCAGATGACAAATTTTGTTTAAATTTGATGTAATTACATCCTTTGCCTGTGAAAATCTGCATGGATGTTTTTAAGGTCAAGGATGGTGCAGACCCCAGATAAAATCATTTAAGCTGCCTGTGAAATGTATCTTCGGTTACAAATATTCATGGGGTTGATATATATGATAGAATAGCCTAGTCTGCAGTAGCACAGGGTGAGACTTGCCACACTTACCCAAGTTTTGTAACTAATGTTGCATCCAGTCTTTTCACTGAAATAAACGCATGACTAAATGCAGTTCGTTCCAAAGAACATCCCAGAAAGGTGCATAAACAAGGATTGGAACCCACTGGAAAATAAATGGGGGTAGGTAATGCTTAAAGGTTTATGTAGTGTCCTGCCAAAGCACTGGATACTTGAAGATAACATGAGAGAAGAGTGGTCTGTGCCATTATACATTTAGTTTCATTTTTATGGCACAGTTCTTCATACTGTACATGATAACTGAATGCAGCAGCTGGATTAAAAACATTCATGTCTTGTTTCCTATGGAGGGAAATCAATCCTTTCCTTGATGTATTTCCTATGGAAGAAAATCAATTTAGCGTATTTTCTTTTATGTGAGTTAGTGATTGTAGGAGGGGGAAAACGCTATGCTTAACGTGAACATAATGAAAGCAAATTTTTATGGTTGGCAATTAAAATAATTAAATTTAAAATGAAAACAAATCCCTTTTTGAGGAGGATCCAGGAATACAGTTTCTATGAGATCTGAAATGAACTTTGTAGTCAGCCAGGCCCCTCACATGTCAACCACTGGCATTAATTCAAGGAGACTGCAAGGAAATGAGGTTTACTGAAAGCCAAATTTGACAGGTGCCTAAATGCAGCTTCAGCCTCTTGAAGACGTTCCTCTGGTTTTAACTGAGGGAGGAGAATAAAACCCAGCCCTGCTGACAAACACCCACAAGATCTTTATAAGAAAAAGCTGCTGCTGTCCCCGCGGTGTGATTGCCTTGTTTGCTTTTTCCCCAGAGAATGGATGATTGAAAACAGGGAGATAAGTCATTGCAGTCTGGTTCAAGGCAAGAAGATGGGCTAGGCAGCAATGAAAAAAACATAATACAAAATAAAAATAGCCTGATCAAAACTATCTTGATCTCCGATGGAAAACTCTGTGCAGTGTTGAAGGAAATGAAGGATGGAAATTCAACCCCAGCCTCCCTGGGTCACCTTGCAGGTGCCTGCCTGGTGTGCAGAGAGGCACAGAGCTGCAGCCAGGTGGGGGCACGGCACGGAAACTGCCTCGTGTTGGAGCATAGTGCATAGAAATAATGCTGTTAATGGATAGCAAACTGCACAGAGAAATCATTATTGTCCATGGTGATTTAGTGAACACATGGCTGGGGCTAGAGGTGGCTCAGACCATTTCTTTTACAGCAAAGTGCTTTGAAATGGAAATGTTCTGTTGAAAATCTGCTTTTTTTTTTTTTTTTTTTTTTTTTTTTTTTCAGAAGTTCCTCTGCAGCTTTGGCACCCTGAAACAACCAACCAAAAATGGTTTTTGCAAGTACATTTCTCAAAGGCAAGAGCAGGTACACTGTCTCCTCAATGTTTTTTCAGGCATTCCCAGCCATATTAATGCTTTATCCATTGATAATTATTTAGCTTTAAACAGCAAAATATTATTTACATATTGCAGTAATATTCTGTAAAGCAGTTCTCATAAAATGACATTCAGCTTTTGTAGCTTATAATATCTTTCACGTCTTTGCAGGAAACGTGCTGAGTTCATGAGTAAACATTTTAAATGGCTTTTCATTGCAAATCCACAAATCAAGCTTCATTTTGCTTGACAGAACCTCATTTGTAAAGACGTCAGTCAGATCTCATCTTTGGCAGCATCGCTCCTATGAAACTGTCAGTTAGGGAAGATTTCAGTCAAGAAACTAGAAATTGGGCTGTGGCATCTGCATGTATTGTGTGGTTGGGGATGTAATAGCAGTCAGGAGGGCTCAGCACCTGCATGCAACAGCCAACAGGTGTGAAGTTCCACCGGATTTTTATGGTGAAGAGGAGGTGATAAGGAAAATCCTGCACCGTTCGTGAATTTAGTGGCAAAATTTTACTGTTCTCTCTCAGACTGAAGGATTTTTTCCAGTATTCAGACACTTTATTTAAATAAACACCACTAGAGAAGATTTGGGTCTCACTGAAAAGTTCTCTTGTAGTTGGAATTAACGTCCTGCAAAGAGTATAGAAAATAACATAGATTTCTTTTAGTTAAACATCAATCAGGAGCAATCATTAGATAGCAGTGTTGTGTTGTGCGTAAATTTTGTTTTGTGTCAAGTTTATTGTTTGTCTACAGTGATAATATAAATTAAATAACTTGCAGCATTCATGTTTTTAGAAAAACGTGTTCACACCTGTCTTATTATTAATGACATAGTTCAGATCATTGATTTTACCTCCCGTATGGCTGGCTAATGATTACAGAAAGGCCTTCAAAGAATGTAAATTAATGATATCAATTATTGCGAGCGATGGGCTTTATGGATTGTCATGAATACCAAGTGCCTCTTAGGGTAGGAACAACAGGAACAGATGACATGTGAAGTTATGCGAAGCAGTTAAGGTCATGAAAACTTCCCTTCGTATCTCTTTTCTAAAAAGGTTACTCAATTATAATAATGGTCAATTCTCAGCAGATTAAAAAAATCCTTCATCTGGTTTCCTCCTGGGCATTTAGTAATGGAGCTCCCACCTGCTGCTTAACATTTTATCATGTCATTACCAGTGAAAACAATTTGCACCGGTGGCACTAGCTGAGTGGAAGCTTCCAAATGTTATTTTTAGAGGAATAACAGCGCTGAATTTTACGTGCCAACTGCATTCTTCGCTATCAAATTCCTTGCTCGTAGTAGGATTTTTTTAAGGTCTAATTTTACTCATTTTTTAAAAGAAGAGACTGAAAAGCAGGGACTAGCCTGTTTTAGACTAGGCAGCCTGTGATGCCACACTGGTGGTGTGGGGCATTGAGCTTTGCCAGTGACGACCCCACAGCCCCCTGCCGTGGTGTCTGGCTTCACTTGGGGGACCCTGGGAGCCCTGCATGGTGCCGAGGAGCCAGTCCTACTCCAGAATAAGAATTAGCATTTGTGGTTATTGTCCAGCAATAAGCATTGGTGGTGAACACACAATCAGTCAGATTTGCCAGCTCTCTGTCATCTACTCCAGAGGTTTGGGACGTGAGGGTCTGTGGTGGCTTTACTGAGCCACGTTTTACCCTACCACATAAATCCAGTAAAGGGTCACCACCTGTGGGGCTGTTCCTGCCAGACAGGGCATGCTGAGGGTGCAATCCTGCTGCTCGGTGAGAAAAGGGGTTCTATGCACACCCAAAAAGTGGTGTGGGAGAAATAAGGTGATGTGTTGCATGAACCAGCTTAGGGTGTCCTCTGCAGGTGGGAGTGGCAGAGGTGTCTGAGCTATCTTCACAGCTGTGGGCTGTGGATAGCTCACAGATATTATGGTATTTCAGTGTAAATATTAAAAAACAAAACAAACTTTTTTTTTTTTTTTTTTTTTTTTTTTTTTTTTTTTTAGCTAAGGAGGTGAACAAAGAGAGTTTTTCTTTTAGGAGCTTTCTAAATACATACGAACCCCATGGATCTGTTTGTGCTCTGTTTGGTTGTGGTTTCCCTTTGAAGAGGGAGAGACTTTTGATAAAAGTGATGTACTTTACACTGGGAGTGGGATTGATGTTGCAGTAAAATGTGAAATGCCAAGGCAGGTTGGGGAGCAAGGGCTTCACGTCCCCTCCCATGCACAGTGTTCAGCTTGTGGGCCGTGCTTTCTGCCACCGGGGTTTGCAACAATTTGTCTCACAATTTAAGCTGCTTTATCCCTTCCTCTTTGCTTTCTGTGCCACAGGGCTTGCCCTGGGGCTCTGCTCTTACGGACTGGCCCAAATTCTTCCTCCTACCTGCCAGCACCCACCCACTGCGAATTTCTCGGCGTGGCGTTATTACTGAGGTTAACCTGCAGTTCTGTCTGGGGCTGACCAGCTGACTCTGCCCCAGTCAGGATTTGTCTGAGCCAAGTGTCTACGTGAGGATGGCTCGGTCACGAGTATGTTTGCTCACTTCTACTGACTTCCAGAAGAGTGATTTAAAGTGTTTGTTGACTTAGTGCCCAGAGAGACTCAACTGGGGGTACTTTCCTGCTGCCACTCAGTTTGTAGAAGCACAGGAAGAAGTTAAATCACATTTTGGGCTCTGCAAGTGGTTTCTCTGTGGCTCTGGGAAAGCTGCTTTGCTGCTGTCTGTCTCTTTACTTGAGAAATGGAAGGCAGCAATGCTCACCAGCTTCACAGAGTTTGTGATAATTAATGTTTGAAGATGAAAAGCTACTTGATCTTGTAGCTGGGTTTTGGCTTCTGTGTCTGCTGGTGGGAGACAAGAAGAGCAATAGATGAAATTGCACAGGAGACAAAATCCAAATCACTTCAAACTCCACCGAAGCTTAAATAAAGCCACTGTAGCACATTCATTTTCTTAGAGATATGTAATAACTTAGAAAAAGTATTACAATGGACAAATGTAGACTTTAAGTCTCACTCAGCACTGTTCAACCTCCTTTCCTGTGCAAGAATGCTATGAATTTTCACTGTAGCCTGCTGACCACTGATTTGTCTTCAGAGCATCTCCCACCACTAAAATCTGGTTGAGTTTGGTTTTAAAGCAAAAATCTGAAGCAGGGTTGGAGCCGAGAGGGAACTCCTGAATTTCACGTCTGATCTGTGGTTGTCCTACACAGCTTTTTAATATTTATGCAAAAAATGCAAACTCTTGTACTCTATAGTCCAATGTATCATTCTGGGTCCAAATTAACAATATTACCCAGGCCATCTTCAGCTGCCTGGCTTCGATGTTGTGACACTGCCTCATTCCTCTTCTGAACTTAGTCCTGGGCAAAAAATTGTAGTGTCATCTGCAATGGTGAAAAATAACATGGTTCAAAGAGATTTCGGTCCCTTCATGGATCAAAGCTTAAAAGATGAAAACACAGCAAGTTAGAGGGTTGGAGTGTTGATTTGAGATGCGTCAGCCTCAAATTACCCGCTTCTTTCTTGCAGTTAAAATGAAGCACAAAAGCCAGGTCAGGCAGAATCTGAAGCAAAATAAGAGGTCTTCCAACCATGCTGGTAGAAATCTTGGGCCCTCTGATCCTTTCCCTCTGGGCTTGTGCTGGTGGTTATTTAACGCCTGGAGAAATGCTTTCTTTTGCTTTCACCCAGCTAATGTGAGCCAGCCTGCGAACATTGGGAGGTGTGTGCATTGACACAGCGCTGCTGTACTCACGCAGAAAGACGTGAAGCCATTTAATGTTATTAATTGCTAGCTGGCTGATTAGATTTACAAGGAATTGTCAAACCTTAAAACCCCAAATAATCATTTCTCACAACAAAAGAATTTATTGTGCCATTAACTTTCTAGCAGGTTTTCCAAAAGTGAAATCACTAACTGCTGTAAAACTTTTATTGCATATTTTAATTTATTTCTCCCTCCAGTTAGGAAATGTCTCGAAGAGTTATTCTGGTCTTCTCCACTGTCATTCTTTATGCATTAAAATAACAATATTTGTGTTTACTTATTCAATCCATTGTCAGTTTGAAACCTATGCCACTCAGGTACTGTCAAAGGCAAAAGCTCTCTTCTCCTTTCTTCTCCCAAATGTCAGAGACAAGAAACATCAATCAAGGTTTTAGTTTTTAGGGTTTGAATGGGAAGGACCAGATGCCTTCTGCACATCTGCTGACAGTGGGAAGGAAGAGGATGGACATGAACTTAATTTTCCTGCATCCTGGGTGAAATACATGGCATGAAAACAAAGCACCAGGCTTGCTTCTTTGTTGTATTTGTGTGTGACTATGGAAAAAGGACCCATGAGTGGGACTGAATACTACAGCGGGAGACCAGCTGATTTTTGACCTCCACAAGAGATGCAGTGGTGATGAATCAGCTTCTGCATGGTGGGTGCAAGCTCCTGGCAGCCTCAATTTTCAACAGGGCTGCAAGGTTTCAGCATCAAAAAAACAATCTCTGATACCTGCAGGAGAATCTTAAAAGCTTTTGGCAGAGTGGTACGCAAGACCCACATGTGTTTTGGTTGTATGAATAATGAATGTTTCCCAGATGCTCAGTGAAGGATCTTATCTCCTGTGGTGTAAGGGGCATCTCTGCGGACAAACTCTCTCTGGTTTCATCAAACCATTTACTGTCAATGATACTCCTGGAAGATCTCCATCCAGTTGCAAGCAGTAGCTGATGTAAGAGAATACAAAAAATGTCCCCATTAAAACCATCTTTAGAGCTCAAAGTCTAGGCTTGGGGTCAGATTAATTTGAGCTTCAGAAATATTAAAACAGTGAAATGATGGTTGCCTCTCAGTGGGTTTGGCAGATGGACATCTCCACTCCACCTCGTCCAGGCTGCCAAACCCTTGAAGCTTTCCCCCATGACTTGGCGTTTGCCAAGCACTTTCTGTTCCTGCCTGGAAGTTTCTGTTGTTCACTTCAAGCTTGCTCGTA